CATGTGCAAGACTAGGTTACAGAACTGGGAACCACCCCCTTAGCTGAATATTCATTAGATATGGTGAATATGTATAGATAGCCAAACTATAAAAGCCAAACCCAGGAAGAAGGTGGAGCTGCTGCTCTTCCTTTCTAGAGCCAGCCTGAACTTTGCCTGAGGTGTGTATTTCGTTCTTTTTGTATCAGACTTCCCTTTCGCAGGCTGCTGTTCACTCTAGAGCCAGCCTGCACTTTGTCTGTGAATGTATATTTCGTATTTTTGTATTCAACTTGATGTGGGTCCTGCACATTCTCTGGAGCTAGGCTGCACTTTCTCTGTGAAGTCTGTATTTCTTATCTTTTACCTTAAACCTGTTTTCACTTTCTACTGTGACTCTGCTCTTGAATTCTTTCATGTAGTGGAGTCAAGAACATGGTAAGAGGACAGGGTGGGTTGAGGCTGGCCATCAGAACTCCCCAGACCCTCTCATCTGGTATCAAATGGAATATTATGAAGTAACGTTTGAGAAGAGTAGATATTAACATAGAAAAATGCGATTAAAATACTAAGTGAGCTGGCCAGTTAATTTGGTTGGTTGGGCCCTGATAGCACCAAGGTCCGAGGTTCCATCCCTGTACTGGCCAGCTAAAAGAAAAAAAAATGCTAAATGTACAAAAGATGTAGAATTATATATACAAGTATGTAAGTACATAAAATAAATAAANAACTCCCCAGACCCTCTCATCTGGTATCAAATGGAATATTATGAAGTAACGTTTGAGAAGAGTAGATATTAACATAGAAAAATGCCCATTAAAATACTAAGTGAGCTGGCCAGTTAATTTGGTTGGTTGGGCCCTGATAGCACCAAGGTCCGAGGTTCCATCCCTGTACTGGCCAGCTAAAAGAAAAAAAAATGCTAAATGTACAAAAGATGTAGAATTATATATACAAGTATGTAAGTACATAAAATAAATAAAAAACTCAGTATTTATTCAACATATCTTAAACATAACAGTAATCCCTGTTCAATGAAGAAAATATTTTTTTAAAATATGTTCTCTTTTTCTATACATTTTTACAAAAGCAAGGGCCGGCCCGTGGCTCACTCGGTAGAGTGCGGTGCTGATAACACCAAGGCCATGGGTTCGGATCCCTATATAGGGATGGCCGGTTCGCTCACTGGCTGAGCGTGGTGCTGACATTTTTACAAAAGCAATGTAGTAGAAAGGTTTGTAAACTGCTTTTTTAAGAGAAAAATATATCATGTATATCTTTCATATCATTAAACATTATCCTATATATTTTTTATTATTGTTGTTTTTGGCAGCTGGCCAGTACAGGGATCAACACTGGACTTTGGTGGTATCAGCACCATAGTCTAACCAACTGAGCTAACTGGCCAGCCCCCATGGACTTTTTTTTTCCTGCCCCCCACCTTCTCCCCACCATGTACTTTTTAAATATCGACAGAGTATTACTCTGTTTGCAAAAATTATGAGCTAGAAACTGTGCTACCAAGTATAAGTGCCATACATTGTTAAGTACAAATTGCTATGGGAACACTCTGCAGGCAGCAATGGATAAAAATAAAACAGAGAAAAATACACAGGGCTGGCAGGTTAGCTCAGTCAGTTAGAGAGTGGTGCTGATAACAACATAGTCAAGGGTTTGGATACCAGTACTGGCCAGCCACCAAAAAGAAAAAAACATCAACTAGATGATGAGATTATGGGTTGTCTTTCCTTTTCTGAATTTTCTAAACTTTTTTTGTTTTTTGGTCGTTTTGATTTTCTAGACTCTTGAGCATTATGGTTTTTATAATACATTTAAAAATAGGAAGGTAATAAAAAATGAAAAAATTCTAAAAAGCAGGAAAGATAAGGCAACAAAAGAAAGAATAGACAAATTGGACTGCATGAAAATTTTAAAATTTTGTGCATCAAAAAATAATATCAGGGCCGGCCCGGTGGCGCACTGGATAGTGCGCCGCTTGGGAAGTGCGGCGGCGCTCCCGCCCGAGGGTTC